TGGTCCTTTTAGGTAGAAGTACTAAAGGAACAGATTAAAAAGTAAAGGATAGTTTTCTGCAGCAGCATGAAGAGGGAACTGTAGTGATCTCCTTCCTTGTTTTGGGAATGCTACAGGGAACTAAACTGCCAAGAAATGATGGGTTATTGTCTCTTCCCTCTCCTCACAATCTTCTCCAGCATTTTTGATAGTCCCTATCATATTTTGTAGTCTGATGCCATGTAATCTATCAGAATTTTATTAATCCCATTAACAGAGGCAGCCATCTGGCCAACTCTGAGCTAGACTAGTACTGAACTGGAATGATTGATGGCTCTGGAATTGATTAGTTGATCTGAGAGACAAATGAACTGTTTTGGCAGAAAATACCAGAGGTCACTGCGTGTGGTCAGGCGCAAAGGCCTGCAGAATTTTAAAGAGCAGCTTTTTCCATACAGTTGTAAACTTCCCCTAAAACTAACAGATTCCAGAAACAACCTAATGATTGAAGCTTGCAATTCTATACGTGGTTACTTGGGAGTAAGTTCCACGGAACTCAGTGAGACTTCTGAGTGTACCTGTTTAGGATTGTGCTATTAAACTTCAACTGATTGTTAAGTGTGCGGAACTAAGACATACTCCATGATTTTGTCAAGAATATACAGCTTTTTTCTTGGCAGTGGCTTGGCTCAAATATGTAAGCACCATGGGGTTGGGTAACTTTCATGCCTGCAGGATCAACCTGTGTTTTTCAGTAGAACCGCCAAGGGCGTAACATTGAAAAATTTTGAATTGAGGGATTTGTTTTTGAGCATCAGAACAGAACTCTCTGTCCTTCCATGCAAAAATCCACTTGTGGTTAACACCCCCATCAGGTTTCTTCATTTCAGTAATGCAATTTAAGGATGAATAATTTTGTTAACAAACAACTGAGAGTCAGAAATTCTTGGCAGTTAACCGGAAATTTCTGAGAGATCTACCCAGTAGATCCCAGTCTGCCTTCTGCCCACCCCTGCCTTAGTTTGGTCTTGGTGGGATTACTGCAACACATATTGTGTGGGGTTGCCTCTCAAAAGTGTTCAGAAAATACAGTTACTCTAGAATGCTGCAGGCGTACTCTTGAGCAGAACTGGTTATTGCAACTCATTTGCTAAAACAGTTTTACGACATTCTGATCCTGTTTCTGAGCACAATTCAAATTGCTGGGTATAGCTCTAAATAATTTTGGGACCACTTCCTCCAGTAGGAATCTTCTTAGGCATCAAGGGATAGATTGCAGCTCATGGTTTGTCTGGTGGATGGAAAACATGGCTTAACTCGAAACAGTATGCAGCAAAGAGACTACAATCGCCTGTGCATATTTGCACGTTCAGTTAGCATTATGTTTGAACTAAGCCTTTGTATATAGAATGCACTTATGTGGAGGAGCAGGGAAATGCTCTCCTTTTTAAAGGAAAAAAAGGTTGGTGTGAGTGATTTCCATATCTGTCAACTTTTCCCTTTTCTTGCGAGGAATCCTATTCGGAATAAGGGAATTTGCCTTAAAGGGAAAGGTTGACAGCTATGGTGATGTCACAGACATCTGGTAAGTATACCTGACAATTGAATAGTCATATTACACACACTATCAATTGTAGGACTTTTTGGTAGCAGTGGGGAGAAAATTTGATTTTGCTGTCAATTACAATTTGTGATTTAAGTGTTGGTAATTGTTACTTCCCCAGCAGCAGAGATGTAGCCCGAAGGAGAGAGATCTGTATCCCCATGGTCATAGGGTTGGGTGGGGCAGGAGTGGCAAAGGAATTTGTCAAGGAATTTGCCATTTGTAGAAGCCTTCAGGGGGTTTACTTGCATTCTTACTTTCTGACAAGCACAATGGATTTTTACTTTTCATTTTAACTGGATAGGTGCTAGAGTATTAGCAAAGGCTACATCCCCTTGTGTTGTAAGAGTCAAAAAACATGTTGCTTGAGTGGGGTGGTTATGCTACCACTTTTCAAATGCTTGGTAATCTTGAATTTTGTGCATACTTCTTTCATGCATGGGCAATTGGCTGACACATGTCTTGTTATGTCCTAGTTGTTCTCTGAGGACAGCACAGAAGTGTGCAGGCAAGTGGGCAACACTTCCACCCTGGGGAGCCAGACTGTTCAGAATAAACTTGAGTTATGGATTTATTCAGCTTGTAAAACCTCAGCTGGCATAAATAATTGAGAAAGCAAAGGTTTGTCTGCAGTGCATACCTCAGGGACACGTGCCTGCTTCTCTCCCTCCCACCTCCCTTTCTTATGAAAATGATCCCAGTTGCACTGATAGATAATAACAACACCAAGCAATTAAAAGCTATGGGTGGCTGGAGAGAGGAGAAAAGGTTCACTTAATGAGCTTTTCCTCTTCCTGTGCCCAGGAGAGCCTCAGAAGTGACGGGGCGATTAAACGAAGAGATAATTATAGATTATGTGAAGATGGGTCCCTTGGGGGTAAGAAGGCCTTGACATAAACAGTAACTGTTGCAACTGTGCCTTGGCTCCCATCTCTCTCTCTCTCTCTCTCTCTCTCTCTCTCTCTGCTTCATTGAGCTTCAGTACACTCAGTGGCACAGTGCCAAGCAGAAAGGCAAGGCCACCTGTTTGTGGCACATGGGCCTTGCTGGGCAAGGTAGGATCCTTCAACCAAATCTCCTTCTACCACAACAATTAGACAGGTCCAGAAAAACAGAGAGGGTATAGTGATGGAGGATAACCACCCTCTCAGCTGTCTGTTTAGCTTCAAAGGTGACCCAACACAAAGGTAGGCAGACAGGGAAGATTCTGTGCAGTGTTTCCAATGATGCAGAATAATCCCAGAGCCTTTTCTTTTAAAAGAGTAGAAATTCGAAAGACTCACTGGATAATATGAGCTGCTTGTGGGGCAAGATAAAAAAGGGAAGAAATTTCAGGGCTTCGTCCAGATAAACCGAGCATAAGCATCTTTTCTCCTTCACAAAGAAGTTCAAACTGCATAGACTATTTTAAAAAGCTTAAATAACTTTTCTAAATAAGCAGAGTTTCAATTGTTTAGTGAATTATCATCAAAGAAACAAGAGGCAGCCGGGAGTGCTGTATTCCTCTTTTCACTAATGATTCTTCTTCTGCCAGTTTTTTTAGTGCTAGTACCATTCAGTGTTTATTAAGTTCCAATTATATGTGTGCAAATTGGAGAACTGGGCCCAAACTAACAAAATTAATTTCATTAGGGACAAATGTAAGGTTTTGCACTTAGGCAGAAAGAACCAGCTGCACAAATATAAGATGGGGGACACCTGGCTTACTAGTAGTACATGTGTAAAGGATCTAAGTGGACCACAAGTTTAACATAAGTCAGTAGTGTGATGCAGCAGCAAAAAAAGTTAATGCTATTCTAGGCTGCATCAGTAGACGCATAGTGTTCGGATCAAGGGAAGAAATTGTAGCACTCTATTCTGCCTTGGTCAGAGCACACCTGGAATACTGTTCTGGGCGCCACAATTTAAGAAGGATATTGACAAGCTGGAATGTGTGCAGAGGAGGGCAACCAAGATTTGATCATAAACCAACTTTTTGAGGAGCTGTTGAAGGAGCTGGGTATGTTTAGCCTGGAAAAGAGGAGACTGAGAGGAGATCTAAGAGCCATCTTGAAATATCTTAATGGCTGTCATGGAAGATGGAGCAATCTTGTTTTCTCCTGCTCTGGAGGGTAGGACCAATGGCTTCAAGTTACAGGAAAGCAGATTCCAACTGAACATCAGGAAGAACTTTCTGATAGTAGGAGCTGTTCAGCAGCGCAATGGACTCCTTCGGGAGCCCTTTCTCTCTCTTTTTTTTTAGCAAGAAAGCCTTCAGATATATGATTTCCCCACTTACAACCTGCAGTAGTATATAGCACCCAATGTAGGTAAAAGGAAAGTGCATATGCTTAGGAGAAAGATTCTTTAGAGACCACATCCACAGTGAGGAGTAGGTCAGAGGAAGTCTGTTCTGGCATTTTTTCTGCAGCAGGAGCCCAGTATCAGCACTTTCATTTTAAAAGTGCTACACTAGCAGAAGGAAAGGAGAAGAAATCTTCTGTTCTGAAGAATGAATCATAATTCACAAAGCACATAAAGCTAAAGGAGTTAAGAAACAGCATAAGTGATGTGCCATTTGTTCTGTTTTTTTCTCACCCGTTTCAGCACATACGTGGTTTCTTGGAGGGATTGTTGCTTGCAAGATATAAAAGCCATCAATTATTGTATTGTTTTGTGTTTGAACTACGAAAGTGGTTATATTTTATTTGACCTCTTGATTAGTTTGTTATTGCATAGTGATGTCAGTATCCTGCTTGCATGTAAGCTATACTTCAATTTGTGAACTGTGAGATTAGTTCCATTATAACCTGGAACCTTTTTTTGCAGCACAATGAATTTGAAGTTGGCAGTGCTCCCATTGTAGCAAGCTTATCGTTTGCTGAGACTTCAGCTCGTAGTTTCTGCTCATGTTCCTGTGGACAAACAAACTAAATACCATCAAACTGCACCAGAGTATTTGAAAATGAGGCAATAAGATGTGGGTGGGGAGTGAAAACATGTTAATTGTAGCATTGCTCCCATCCTTTGAAAACTAACACTGATGGTTATGGGTGTTTTGTGGCTATCTTTCTGGTAGAACTGAATTTCTTTCCCCTTTGTAAGTCACTCAGGAAATGTTCAGTTCGAAGTGAGGTTTTTTGTTTTTTTTAGTTTAAGGTGTTTTCTAAAGTGTGTATTGCTCTGAACCAGACTAGACTGTTTTCAAACATGTTTCATTGTGTAAACATGAAGGGTAGATATACCGTATTTTTCGCCCTATAGGGCACACCAGCCCATAGGGCGCACCTAGTTTTTTGGGGGGGAAATAAAGAAAAAAAATTATCCCCCCCCCCCAGCCGTGGGGCTGGGGCTTCCCCCAGCCCCCAGAACAGGCTGCTGCCCGCAAGCCTTCTGAGCCCGGCGGGAACTCCCGCTGCGCTCAGAAGGCTTGTGGATAGTTGCCCGAAGCCCGGGGTGCGCTGCGGAGCGCTCCCCGGGTTTCGGGCTGCAGGCTGCTATCCGCAAGCCTTGGGAGCCCAACGGGAACTCCCGCGGAGCTCCCAAGGCTTGCGGATAGCTTCCTGAAGCCTGGAGAGCGAGAGGGGTTGGTGCGCACCGACCCCTCTCACTCTCCAGGCTTCAGCAAAAGCCTGCATTCGCCCCATAGGATGCACACACATTTCCCCTTCATTTTTGGAGGGGGAAAAGTGCGTCCTATAGGGCGAAAAATATGGTACATCCTGGCGTGCTTTTAAGTCAGTGTCTTGGTTCCATGTTTTGAGTTACTTTTGTGTTTCGCAACTTGGAGAAGTTCAGATTAAGTGTGCTAAAGTATATCCACAAGATAAATCTGATCATACAGCAATGAAAGACTTTGACAGGGCACACTCAACATTTCCAGTTTGTATTGTACCTCTCTCATTGTATTTCATTCATTCATATATTCCACTTGTTTATCATCACCTTATTTTAAAAAGGCAAGGTAGCTTAGGTTAATTAGAGACTACCTGGCTTATTGAGGCACACCAGAAAAGGGATGTGTGCATAGCAAAAGCCTTATTCATATCTCAGTTTAATAAGCCAAGGTATAATTGTCTGAATGTGGCCATAGGTTTCACAACAATGTTGGTTCAGTTTCATTGCCAGTTTGGTTTATAGAAACCAAACCAACATCTGAGCTTACAAATGCACAAAAAGCAAACTGTGGTTTAGACAAAGAATTGTCTGCATTTGTTTTCTACCCTCTCAGCACTTGGCTTCAGAAACACTTTAACCACCCTAGTGCAACAGCTTGTGGAATTGGAGAGAGCCTATTGTACCTGCCAAACTTTGGTTTCTGATTCTAGTTCATTTGCTAATTGCAAACTATGGTTTGTTAGTTGAGACGCAACACCAAACCACATGTTATCTTCCCAAGCCCTTCTGCGTTCCTTTCAAGAAAATCTGGTTTGCTGCTCACCACTGGATGGTGATACTGAGATTACATCCATTGGAGTCTTCGTTGGTGACCTTTTCCAACTATCCCACTTTTTATAAGTTATCTGTATCAGACTTGCTCCTTTAAGGGGGCCGGGTTCTTCTGAAATAGGGAGAACAGACCCTGGTGTGTAAATAATGGATGGCAGAAGGAATATTCCATATTTATTTTGCTAAGAAATACTGTCAGCCCCAGTGCACTAATAGATATTAAAGTCTGTACATGTCAAATGGGGCTTTATAGAGATATATTAAGGGACAACTTTAGATACTAATTTATTATGAATTCGTGCACATTTTTCTTCATGGCTGAAATTGGTTTGTGTTGGTTTTCTTCATTCCTTGCGGGAGGTTAGCTTTCAGTATATTGTTTTAGTTATGTGTGATGCAGAGTGTATCCCAACCTGAATTATGCTGTTTGCATTCAAAGCACTGGAAATCTGTAGTACTCAGTAATGCTGGAATGATTGAATTGGTGGAAAAGCCGGGCATCTTATGTTTGTGTAGTTTCTGTGCGTTGCTCAGTAACAGTACGCATTTGCTCACTCTCCCTTATGTCTTCTTAGGGAAGAAGATAAGAACATATTTGACTACTGCAGAGAAAACAACATTGACCATGTAACCAAAGCCATCCGATCAAAAAAAGTGGATGTGAATACGAAAGATGAGAAGGTATTGGGCCAGGGGAGGGATTAATCTGTCTTAAAGGCTGGTATGTCAAATTAATGTCTCCTCATTTCTCTAATCCTTCCTTGCAGCTGCTATAGCTCTGCTGCAGTGTGTCTGACCAGACATCTGTTAGTGGAAGAATTGTCCAACTCTGCCACTCCTAAGCAACAATTACCTGACACATGGTTGGACTTTGACTTTTGAATGTGATAACAGTTACAGCAGGTCAGAGATAGGCTGGTGTTTAAAGCAAAAAAACAAACAAACACCAAAAACACAAAACCCCAAATGGCACCCCTCTTCCTCTTAATTAACATGGGGCACATGCCCTGGGGAAATTCTCTAGTGCAATCCTAATTGAAATGAATAGTTAATTTTAATGTGGCTGGCACAGGAAAGAAATTTGGTGGATTGTCCCTATGGATTTGATCTGTCTGCTTCCCACTCCACCTCTTAATGGCACCCAAAAACTTTCCAAAGAGGCCACATACCCTATAGATGAGCCCTCTCTGGACTGATGGCAAAGATAGTGGGAGCTTAATTGAATAATCGTACTCTGGTTCAAGAAATACCTGATAAAGCAGTGGTGTAAATAGGAGTACCCTGTAATGTTTTTCATAGGCAATAGCTCCACATATGGAACACTCTTATTAACTAAACTGTATTTGGACACCCTTTGCTGCCCTTTTGTATCTGTGCAGCAGATATTCACATCACTTGACCATAGGCTATTTGTGAACATGATTTTGCTAGTGTGGCTAAAATAAGTCTGGATTATGTGGGATGTACTTCATACAAATGACTTGCTTTATGGAGGGCTACCCATATTGTTCTTGACTTCAACATCAATTGTGTTGCCATTGTGACATATGAAATGGGCCTTAGAAATGATGGAGCAGCAGCTAATTCATTGCCAGTGAAGTGTCTTTATACCTTTGCCAAAAGAGGGGCAGCTCTTTCACTTGTCATCTAAAGGAGTTTTAGGGTAAAATATACGTCAGCTATGTTCCCTGAAAACTTATTTTTACAATAAAGTACTATATTATGGTCTGGCATGCTGAAGTGCTTCAGGCTTCTGCGAGCCATGCCTTTGTATGTGTACCCACCCACCCTCTACCCAATGTAACTTTGTCAGAAGGAACCAGCAGATTATGTTTCTAGCATTTTTTGTAGTGCCAGAAATTCTCCTTCTTGCCATGCCTTCACAATGAGAAGTAAAAATTCAACCGTGCAGTTTATGCATACTGGGATTTTCCCTCTGCTTTCTCTATACTGAGGTTCAGCTTCATATAGGGAAATAAATTTTGTTTAGTGAGTTAGGTCCAGGCTTTACCTTCCATCCATAGAAGGCTTTTCATTCAGTGGAGGGATCCTACTGGTGGAAGTGGAGAAGGTGACCATTGCCAACTTCACCTTTCCTCTACAGCACCTAATGCCACTTCCCACACTGTTCCTCGGGGTCCCTCAAACCTTCTGAAATGTACTTCCCATTGTTAGAAGCAAAGTCTTGATCCAACCCGAAGATAAAACCAGATAGGAGGGCTGTAAGTTATCTCTTGCTCTGCACTGGTTGGAGAAGGGGAGGCATGGTATTTTGGTCTGCACTAATAACTCAGTAGCAGTATTACGAGAATTATTATTATTATTTGTCAAAGCTGCCTCAAGTCTCAGCTCACAAAAGACCAACGCCTATGTCTTCTTATATACAAAGGTGTTTATTGCAGTTCATTGTTTGCTTGACATCCTAGGCGCGCAGCCTTACGTCTCTAACGCTTAGACCGCTGAAGTCCCCTCTGAATCCGTCCCTCCCCTGCACCAATTTAAGAGGCTTGTGCTGCTCCACCTCTTTCTCTCCTTCCTTTTCCGCAGGGTCCTTCTGCCCGCTGGGGTTTCGCCCCTCCTGGATTCCTCTGACGCGGAATCAGACTGCTCTTTCCCCCTCCTGCGGGCTTTGGGACCTGGCCCCTCCTCCGGGCTCCCTGTACTTCCGCGCGCCTCTACATTTGAACTAGGCGCGCGCGCCAAACCTCTAACTTTCCTTTTGACAGTTACACTACTCCCTTCACTGCTCCCACCTTCCGGGAGGGCGGCTTGCTCTGACCTCCCTCCTTTCTCTGCTGCCGGAGCTGCTTCCTCTGACACACTGGAAACTCCACCCCTTTCGCTGCACTCTGGTGGGGAGGCTGGTCCTGACGCCCAGCTGCCACTTTGGGATCCTCCGCTGGCCCCCTGCTCCTGACACGTCCCCCCTGGGGCTCCCCTGGCCTTGACCACCGGCGCCCCCTTCTGGGAATCCTCTGATTCGCTGGAAAGACTCATGGAATCTCTTGAGTCATTGTCATCCTCTTCCTCGCTGGCTTGTAATTCTTCCCCATCGCTCTCCATCTCCTGCCTACCCTGTGCCTCTCTCCCTGAACCCCTGACATTATTATTATTATTATTACCAGAGCTGGACCTCGGTGTCCATGATGGCCATGGAGTGATGGGCATGGAGAAGCTCCTTCATGTATACTGGGCCGAGGCCATTTAAGGCTTTAAAGCTCAGCACCAACACTCGCAAAGCTCCTTTTTAAAGGCTTGAGAGTTTCCCAGATAGTAAATATCTGGCGCGTAAATGGTCAGACAAAATAAAACCTGTTTGACTTGCTAGTTACTATGTTTGCCCACTGACTATTTGTCCTGCTTTTGGCCTGTAACATGTAGTCTCTCAGCATATTGTGTTGCGGTGAACAGATGAAGTGCTTACGCATTCATAGACTGAGACGCCACAAATTCAGTTGGGTTCTCTTGTAGCTCTAAGCAGATTTCTGCCCTTTGAGCCATGACATTCCCGGCTGGGGTTCTGAATGCTGATGGCATGGCTTTTTATTATTAATCAGGAACTCATATGAATTAATTTGATGAAAGCAGGGGAGGGAGTTTAAAATTCAAGACTAGAAACTCATCCTCGATTAAGTGAACTGAAACATCTGTGTGTTTCTACAGTACATTGTTCAGCTCTGTCAGTATTGCCAGAGGTCACAGGTTGTTTAGCCCTATAAGATAAATTTGTATAAATTGCAAGTCCAGGAATGGTTTGTGATTATTTTCTGGTGATCAGTAGTAATAAACTAGAAGTGAACTTTCTGATATCTATAGCAATAAACTAGTAATCCAATCCACTTCTAGGCTACTGTTGGAGGCATACGACTTTCTGGAATATCTGCTTCTAGAAAGATAGGGTATTCTTCAGTTAATGAATTCATTATATGCCCCATTCTTATCAAAGATGAAAACAACAGGTCCTTTCACACTTTTATTATCAAACCGTCAGCATCATTGCAACTCTTCTCATTACTTTTTCCAAGTCAGTGACTGTATGTGAAGGCTTCTTACATGACTTGGCCATAGAAAAGTTTTATGTATAGCTATGAAATGCAATTTTAGTAGTAGTAGTAGTAGTAGTAGGTGGCTCCCAACAGATTAAAAACAGAACAAAACATCAAACC